TGGCTGCTGAAGATTTTCTGAAAGCCTCATATAGTTACAGGATGAGTGGGCTGAATCTAACTGAAGAAGCTTAGAGTATATTAAGCAAAGCATGAACAGAGGGAAAAACAAAATAAACACATACAGAAACAAATGGCGGTGGTACTCCAGAGGGAGGAGGAACATTTCTTAACTAATTTTCATTTTGCTCCTCTCCTGCTTTTTTCTGCCATGGTCCCAATATTTTGGTTCTGTTTTGTTTGTTTTACTTTTTTTTTCCAGCGGAGGAAGAAATGACAGAGCAGGATAGGTGTCTTATGGTTTTTGATTTCTTCTTAGGCCTGTTTAATTATTGTTTTTCCTCAGTTGACTGTTGGCACCTGGTTCCTCTGTAAACTATATTCCTTGGCCTTCAGTCTCAGGTTGGCAATGCTGTTGGCCATGTTGACACCCTGTGCAGGGCTATTGTTGGCACATGTGGCAGAATAAGTAGCCATGGCGCTGTAGGGACAAAGGAAAAAGCAGGGAGAATAACAGGCATTAGTTTCACAAAGCTGCGAGTCAGTGCCCCAGATGGATGTACTCTCAGGAAGAGGTCAGGCAGGGGCAAGGGCTGGGCAAGATGCCCGTCAGGGTCTCTGATGGCTCCAGCTCTCCATTACTCCAAAGCTTTGGGGGAAGCCAAATGGTGGCCTATTTTGTAGGGCAGAGGAAAGCACAGAAGAATAAGACAGGAGAAGGAGAGGTATTTGCTATGTTGAATACAGTGAGTAATGATTTATTTCTGGGATGAAAGAAAAATTTGCTCAAGTTGAATAGCAGGTAGTTCATCAGCTGACTAAGATGGTACTTAATCTCTCTTTCTGTCTACATCACCAAGCCTGTGAGTGAAGAAGAAAAGCAAGCAGTTGAAAAACTAAAGAGGATTTTGTTTCTTCATTCCTGGTAACTGACCTTAATTTTAACAGATTTTAGATAATAAATAAATACCATAATAAATAATATACTTGAAAATAAAAATAATCAAGGTAACTTCTCTGGAATTCTTGATTCACTGGTTGATGGTAAAAAAAATGGATAAATGAAGACATTTTTATCAATCAGCCTTTGTCTTCTAATCACTTTTCTAGCACACATTGCCTTTTAGGTCAGTTATTATGAAAAAGTTAAAATTTCCTAAACTATCAAAGGTCCAAGTCTCACCCTCTGGACTATAGAAGTAATTTTTTTTTACTGTCCTTAATGCTCAGAAAAACATGAAGTTGTTTTCATTATCAGAAACTGTAATCAATATCTAGTAAACCACTAAGCATAGATGTATCATTGATAGGTTTTTGTTAATTGACCCAGAAGAAAGGAAAAAGAAATGGGGTTGTAGACTTGGCTGAAAATTATTTTTATTTTAAATAGTTAAAAGAAGGCTCATCTAAACTAAATGAAAGTGTTTCTAGTTGTTTCTAAGATTAGCAAAATCTCTTTGAACTGAGGGCTGAAATGAGATAGATTTAAAAATGGAATGGCATGTGCTTTTTTGTTGTCATCATTCCAATGGAATTTTGTCAGCCATGAAACAGTTTGTGGTTCTGGGGATCAAGTGACAAGATCAGAAAGAGAAAATTAAAGCTACTCTACAAATAGAGAGGCTATATTATGGACAGTTATCTGGATACCTCATGATTAGATTCATAATAACATATTTGAGCTCAATTAACTAGCAATTAACCCAGGAAAATTAAATATAATTAGTTTCAGATCACTTGGTTTTTCGAGAAATATATATCTTTAATTGAAAAGTCTTAGAGCATTGGAATAAATGCATGGGTAATGGTATACTCTGTGTGTGTGTGTGTGTGTGTGTGTGTGTGTGTGTGTGTGTGACGGCAGAAAGAAGCAGATGACCTCACAGTAAAAGTAGGTTTATTTTAGGAGTGAGATAAAGGACTGGACAACTCATTGAGGTGGGAATCTTTTTTGATTTTCTTACAGTATACCAAGAGCTGACATTTACAATATTTCCAAAGCTCACATACATAATCAAGTTCCTAGATGAATTAAGTGCCTCCATTCAAGACTACTATAAATATATGCATCCATAAAAACTATAGTTAAGACATTTCTAGGATATATTAAAGATGCAAAAAATAGCTAAGAAATGGTACAGTGTTTAATAAATGGATCTAAGTCATCAACTATTATAAGATTTGCCAAATTAACTTTCAACCATGTGTCTGTGAGGGAATTAAGCCTTAAAAATAGTATATGACTACTTTAATTTTAAACTCACAAGAGATAAGCTGGAATTATGAAGTATCCATATTTGATTAAAACTGATTTTTTTTTTTATCAGGAATCAAATTTAGGACTTCGCACTTGCCAGGCAGATGCTGTGCCAATGAGCTATATCCCTGGCCTGGATTAGAACTAAGAATAAAATTCAATGGATAAAACTTCATGACAGAACATAATGAAAATTTCTTCAGTGATAAGATATAGATTGTCATGGTGAATTGTGCTTTTAAGTACTTGGCCTAAAGTACTTGAGATACTTTTATCCAATCTCTGAGGTTCTGGACAAGCAAGATTATATTTCACAGAATTTTACACTTCCTCTGATAAACAAAGATGTGTTCCACATCCTTAGCAAATGGAATGGGGAACATTAGGATATAACTTTAGTTTACTGAAGTTCTTGTTCCTGTTTTCCAGAAGTGTCTATTAAGTGTGCTTACAGTTTTGTCTACGAAAGACCAACCATGCTGCAGTCACTACATCATCTACTGATTGTATCATCAGATAGTCTAGCCTGGGGACTTAACTATGGTAACACATTTCTCAGAAATACTGTTTTTCTCTTTAATGTAGGCCAGACAGTAATATTTGAAGAGATCTATTTTTTTACTCAAAAACAAATAAATGGGAATTAGAATCACATGTTGCACAGAAGATTGGACAATCTCCAAGACATTTTTCTCTTACGTGGCAGCCTGCACTTCAATGGGAAGGAACAGTGCCCTTGCCCAATTATGTGGTGGTGCTGTACCAGAGCACCATGGTAGTACTATAGTGGGGCTGTGACAGCATTCTACAGGAACCTATTAATTTAGTGAGATGTGAGGATAAGAAAGAAGTTGATATAAATTAATGAATTTTGCAATTACCTAAGTACTCCATAAGTGATAGCATTTTCACTTGGTGTAGCTTGAAAACTTTCACTTGATATGTTCATAAATTTTCAAAAAATGTATCTGACTCATTCCAGCATTTTATGACCATAATAAGTAGCATGAAAGAGGCCATCTTAATTTGTTACCTCTTCACAAATGTGAAGAATATATGAAACTATAAAAAGTAATTTTAATGATATTTTGTGCACATACTAAAAAATTATCTTTATTTTCCTCTAGTCATTTGACATACTTTTGCAACCTGAGCTAAATGTGCCATACAGGCAAGCAGTATGAAATCTCTGGACATGACAGCAACATGTGCCAGGTCAGAAAAGATAGAATTAATGAGGTAGTCCCATAAGAGAAGCTTAGTCATGCTTTAATCCTGGTATTAGCACATGACAAGGGCTTGCTTCCTAAAATGACAACACATGCCAGAGAGCCTTAAATGGCTGCCAGTCTAAGAAAATATTCATGACCACCTGTTTACTACATCATGGAAACTTCTCAAGTTCTGTTCTAGGAAAATAAAGAGAACCCTGGAATGTCTTATTACAAGACAGAAATCTACAAGGGCAATCTACTTATAGGACCATTCAGAGTATGTAAAATGACTACTTCTTCCTACTCAAGATTAAACTTTCTGTCATACATAGGACTAAAACTGAGTGATCTGTGTAGGTTAAGTATAGAACATCCAAAAGCCTGCTTAACTCAACCAGAAATCTTACCCGCACACCTTATCTTCTGAGCGGGAGCTATGTTTTCCTGTGATCAGGGTGCAGATGTGAGCTAAATCCTGGGACTTAGTTTATAGAGTTGACTAAAGCACTATTTTTATTTAATTTTTAGTGAAGTTCCTATTCTGTGACCAAGAATCTTCATAAAAGTTCATTGAGACATTAGAGATGAAAAAGAACACTTGCACTGTGTCTGCTGACTCAGCAAGCCTGCCCAGCGACTTCCCCAGAGTTTAAGTAAGCTTGAGATTATTCCATGTCCTTATTTGGAGATGCCTAGCAGACACAGCCCAGCCACAGACAGCAAAATGTTGACCCCGCCCAAAGAGTGGGAGTGCTGTTTTCATGGGGGACGAATCATTTACAGTCAGTTCAACCTACTCTGAGAAATTGTGAGAGGGAAATATGTTAAAATAACTGCCACACACTAAGTAAGTTCAGAAAATACTATTCAGGGAATGATTTAAAGCCAGGAAATTTAACGACTTCTGCCCCTCTGATTTCAAGTCATCTATAGTGTGAATGCTGTTAACTCACAAACAATTGAGGATAGCTTGGGAAGGAAAATTCTTGGCTCAATTTTTAAATTTAATGTTACTTTCAGTGTGTCCCTTTTGAACAAATGATAACAAACTCTTTAAAATTTCACCCAAATGTAAATCTATTATCCCAAGAAGTCTGTGGGTCTCCCTGATAATAGGGGTTTCACCTTCTTAGGCTTTTTTTCAAAGGCCACATTACAGTTGCTGTAATGTATAAGAGCTGGAGTCCATCTCTTAGTGTTCTTTAGTCAATAGAAGAACAATTGGAGGTACACTTACTTTGTCCAAAACAATTGAATACCAGTTTTCCTAGGTAGTTCTTTTTTTTTTTTTTTTAGAACCAGAGATTGAACTCAGACCCTTGCGCTTGCCAGGGAAGCGGTTATTCTACTGAGCCATACTGAGCCATCTCCCTGGCTCCCAGGAAATTTTTTTAAAAAGTGAGATGTCATGAATCATTGTGAAAGTGATCTTGTGTGACTTAAATAATCATTTCTAACTTTGGTTTTTAAACTTCTGAAGTTAACTTCTAGTACATATTTAATTCTTGTAAGTGTACACACTTGGCCCATATTCATACTTCCACTACAAGTTCAGCAATGCTTCTGCAGCATTTAACTTTTCTTTCTAGGAATGTTTCCTCTTGACACAAAACTTAGTGCCACAAAAGCTTATATTTTTTTAAATACACATTGCTTACCTTTGGATTCCAAAGACTTATGAGATATGTTATAGGGAAACCAGTATGCACTCAATTTTAGAAACAAGAGTACAAAAGAAATCAATGATCTTACTAGCCTGAGGATCAAATCACACAAGGACAAAAACACAGTTCTACTCCCTACTTCATACCCTCTAGTCATCTAAAAGCCTCACCATTCCATGTGTGTACTGAGTGTGAACAGCTTTAGCATCACCTTGGAAAGAAGCCCACCTAAGACCTAATGAATCACTACAGGCCTGAACATGGCCCCAGGTGACCCCATGCACAACCGTCTTTAAGGAGCTCTGCTCTTGACTCACATTACTCAATTTTATGGACTCACTTTCTTGTAGCTCTGGCTCCTTCCAGTATTTTCTAGTCAAAAACCTTACTGCTTACATTTCTAGAACTTCACACCCCTTTTCTTAAACATAATTATTTCCCCCTTAAGCCCTACCCCCAGCAGCCACCCTTCTCCCCATCTGACAAGTTACCTTTTCAGTGTCTTCCGTTAGAATCCGTTATGAAGCCCCTCGTGTAAACAACATCTTGGGAGGGACGAGGATCTATTTTTGAAAGTGTGAAAGGGAGAAATGAGCCAAATGCGTTCACCAGATGTCAGGCAGCACCATGACCATGACCAAATCAGGAAGGGAGGAGAAGGAGGAAGAGGGAGGGAGGGAGGGAAACTGGACAAGGACAATCAGCTTCTCTTTTATTTGTCACCAGTTTTCTTTTAAGTCCAGCCCTACCTCTAGAAATGGCACTGAAGACTAGTAGTGCAGAGCCAGACCACTGGCTATCTACCTCTCACAGGAAGAGAAGTGACTGAGGAAAGGTTTCTTGGCTACTTTTTCTCAAATAATAGTCAAAAGTCCAAACCTTGTCTAATATTTTCTGCCCAAGAGACAAAGCACTAGAAGATAGTGAGTCTTGATAGTTCCAGGGATGTTTGTGGCTCACTCTCATAATCTGCTTCATGAAAATCATTCAGGGCTAACTAATGGGTATGCATTCAAAAGGCCATCTTCTCTCAACTAGCCACAGATCAATAAAGAAGACACCTGATAGGACAGTAGTGTCCCTACTAGGAAATGCTTCACTTCTCTGGTTACTCAGTTGTTTGCCTGACATCATCTGCAATATGCTCAAGAGAATGAATGAGGTCATGGTATGAGATAATTAGAATAAACCGGATGTCCCAGTTGTTGAGGACAAATCTGGCTTATGCCTATTTTCCTAACACAATTATTATTATCATTTCCCCTTCACTTTCAAAAGCACCATAATTTGAATGACAAGTTATTCAATGTAAAATGTGTCTGAATGTAAAAGATCCCCAGAAAAAAATGTGTTGCCTATTTTCCAGCTCAGAATCTTGGCATATACAAGTAATTGCTTTTGTACTTTTATTTGTATTTCCAGGGAAAAGCTGAGGAAGTCAGAAAGCTGTCCTACATACACACTAACTAGTCACTCCCCTTGGGTTGCAAACCAAGCCACACACACTGGTCATCTCAGTGGGATGTCCACATGACCAGAATGTAGTTTTCAGGCATTTGTCACTGATGGGAGACACCTTAAATCAAAAAGTGATGCATAGATAGCTTTTCAGTCTTACAGTTTTTACTAGCCCCAACAGAATAGAAATATTTCAGTGGAATGAAAATACAGTCATGTGACCTAATATGGTGGACTGAATCAGGAATCACAAGAACTAGTTCTAAATCTACTTGCTGAAGACTTAAAGTTGTGCAAGGGTTCAGTGTTCTCATCTTTGGAACAAGAGCAAGGGTAGAGCTATCACACAGCAGTGTTCCAAGGATAAATCAAGAGAAATGCCTTTTAATGAATGTCGCATGAAAATTATCTAACTTGACATTATAATGGCAACAGGGAGTAGCAACTAAATGGTCCACAATACAGAAGGTGTATCATTTCCTTTGCTTTTCATCACTTTTTTTACTTATATAGTTCCTTAACAATATTTCCACTTCTGGGCACTCTTTGAAGCATTACACCATAATATATTTGTGTCTAAACATAGCAGAAAATCCTGCACATAACAGAATAGTATTTTGTCACTTTTAGCAATTAACGAAAATATAAACACTCAACTCAAGATTGGGTCAAAATATTATTGATTAAATACCACTTTAAATCATGACTTTTCTACTTGTATTTGGAGATTAATTTATTCTTAATACAGAATATAAACAGTTTCTATGATATTGCTTTAATTGGTTTTTACAAACTCTGTATCTAATAGAAATGATATATAAGCATACCATAAAATAAGTAAAATGTAATAGGTAATACGATTTTTAGTGAAAAGAGCAGAACACAAAATAATATGTACACTAAGGCTAAACTCATATAAAATATGGAATTCTAGTTTCAAAAATGAACAAACTATGTCAAGACGTGGAATCACGGACATTTTTGAAAATTTTTCAAAAATTTCTATATAATCTTTTCAATGAAAATAGAATATTTCCCCCAAAAGCACACATAGATTGCCATGATAATTTCAGTTAGATGCCCATATGGGAAATACAGATGATGCAGTATAGAGCTGGTCTTCTACTTTGGTCTAGGTTGTATGACCCAATATGAATTCAAAAAGGGCTCCACACCCTTTGGTGCGGTATACCGTGCTCAGCCTTCTACTGGTGGAAACCATCTAAATAGTTAACAGCTGGGATGAAAAGTTCCCCAAGAGTACCAAGCAGGGAAAGAACTATTGCTTTTTAGTTCTGAGCAAGTTCAAACCAGAGATCTGGAAGCATCAGGCTTTCAACTGTATCTATTTCATTAGCCATTCGATGAGTTTCTGGGCTACTGATAATTGTGAGGGTAAAAAAGAAGTCTTTCACTTTGTAAAAGACCTAAAGAATATGTGGTTTTACAGTGGGCTGTAGAATGTTTTTTCAGCAAATCTTATAGAGGAAGAGGTCACAGAGATACAACTAATCTTTAAAACATCAACTGAGATACATAAAATGTCCAGGCCAAGGGCCAAGTAGGCCCACAACAGGACTCTCTTGTGGTATCCATGACATCTCTGTGTACAAAGACCAAAGGTAACTCAGGCTACCTCCACAGCAAGGAATAGGAAATAAATTTCTTAATTTATTTATGGTGTTTTTCCCCAAAACTGATTTGGAACAGAAAGAGCATTTAGACGAAGCTTTGAGCTTTCATCAGAAGTATCAGCTTTGAAATATTTACATTTCACAAATGTGCTTTTTCACATCAGAGTTTAGCTTCAGCTAGGATTTCATATCCTGTAATTATTTTAAAATTTCTTCAGACAATAATTAACCTTAATAAAAAGGTAAACAAAAGTATAATTAATAAGCTCGTGAATACTTCTTCCAGTGAAATCACGCAGGGAGACTGTGGCCATGAGTTGCTTTCCTAGAGCACTCGGAGATAATTTTTTTTAAAAAGGCACTTTGGAGCAGTCACAACTTGTTGGGCTCCCATCTCACCTTTCTTAATGGTGTCAACTTGTGTTATCTGAATAGGATAATAAATGGAGATTGATAGTCTCTCAGTGTGATTGAAATCCTACTCTGTTGTTTGCTTCTTCAAAACATTTCACCTTTTTGTATAAAAGTTCAGGGTAAATTACAGTCTTTATTCAAAGGATATACAACACACACACACACACACACACACACACACACACACACTGACCCCCAAAGTAATCACCTGCAGTTAGATAAGAGTTGTCAATAGAATATTATTGAAATGATAAGAAATCTTCACCTACTAACAAAGAAGTGAAAATGATCAGAATGGACTTGAGTTTTCTTCTCTCTGTCACTTTTTCTTTCCCTTTCTTTGCCTTCTTCTATTTACCCTCCCTTCTCTCTATTTTAATTCAGAATTAGTTTTACTGTGAAGTTTGCCTTTGATCTCACCCTTAAAGCCTTGCATGTCAGTTTCCTACTTGAGTATCTTGAAACAAATCTATCTTTAATTTTGAATGGGGGTCGTTTTATCCTGGAATGCTTGCAAGAGGGACACTGAGCACAGCTACTATTAAATGATCTTTTGGGGGGCATCTTCCTCATCTTTGAAACCTTTGCAAGAGTTCCTGAGTCGAAGAGGAGATTGCTGATGGCCTGCCCCTCGCTCTTCTGCCCCATACCCTGCTCCTGGGGCAACTAGGAATCTCCTGTGAGAATGTGGGGATGTCAGCAAGTTGAGTGTCTCTGCAGAAGTTAACCCCGCAAGAAGTTATCAGCCAGCTGCAGGAGCAGCTTCTTGTGTGGCTGACCGCTGAGGAGCATATGAAGCGGAGCGAGGGACAGTGAGCCAGGCATTCACCTGTACGGAGAGGCTGTCCCCCAGGAGAGATAATCGGTGGGCCTGGGAGCAGGCCGAGGTACGATGGGCTGCTCCACAGCAGTCACGTCTCCTGAGTAGGACTTGAGGAGGGAAGCGTTTTTATTGGCCAGCATGGCTCTCTCATTCCTGCGGAACTTGGCTCTTCGATTCTGGAACCACACCTGAAGATCATTGGGAGGGGAGAAGGGCATAAGAAGAGAGGAAAATGGAAAAGACATTACAAGAATGAAATTTCAGTTGATTTTACTATGTAACATCTTCCCAAGGAGGATATAGGATAGGTATGGAATTCTTCCTAGAAAAGTGGAAATGCGCCATCACCCCTTCCCAGTTGGCCCCACTATAGAGCTTTTAAGGGTTGCATGGGGCCAGGGTGTAGCTCAGTGGTGCAGTGTGTGAACAAAACCCTGAGTTAAACCCAAAGCACTACAAAAGGTGAGGATGGTGAAATATTTCCAGTAGTCAAGACTCAGTGAGCACTTGGGAGACTGAGGCAGGAAGATTGCTGAAAGTTCAAGACCTGCCTGTGATACAAAGTGAGCTCAAGGATGGTCTGAACTGCACAGTGACACCATGTCTCAAAAAAAAAAAAACACTCAGAGATAGGGTTTGCGATAAATCCATAGGACAAGAAAATATGTTATAAGATCTCCATTGTAACAATAATCAAGTAAAGGAGGAGAAATATCATTAAACTTCTCTTAAAAATTTCAATGAGGGGCCGGGGAGATAGCTCAGTAGATTAAGTGCTTGCCTTGCCAGCGCAAGGGCCTGAGTTTAATCCCCAGTTCCACCCCCCCAAAAAAAAAGTCTCAATGACTTCTCTTGAAAGATTTTACAAAATCTTCAAAATATAAAAACTTTATCTTCCATAACAGCCATTAAATATTTAAAGAAACACCATCATCTTCCAGAAGTAGAACCTCTGGCAAAGCTTTAAGAAGAAAATGATTGGGGCTGGGGATATAGCTCAGTGGCATAAGTGCCTGTCTGGCAAACACAAGGTTCTAAGTTCAATCCTTGGAACCACAAAAAAAAGGAAGAAGAAGAAAAGGAAGAAGAAGAGGAGGAGGAAGAGGAAGAGGAAGAGGAAGA